TAAAAGGATTCAACCATAATTAAAAAAAAAAAAAAAAAAAAAGAATGCAAGCCGTCATTTATGCTAAAAAGGGAAAAACATGAGAATTAGGAAAACTATGCAAACTTTTACACAGGACCATTTTATTATTTCCTTTATTGTTCTAGTTTGTTTCATAATTGTGCCGTTCTGTGATAGCTAAAAGATCCTGTAGGGCAATCTAAGAAAGTGACCAGTGACGTCACAAGGGGGGTGTGGCCCGCACATGGGTGCCACCATTGGAGGGTTGACACCAAAATGACTGACAGTGAAAGTGAAATGACTGACCCTATGAAAAGTCGGGCACTCGATCACGGACCGAGAGCCAGACAGTGTCAGGAGAGAGGAGGGGACCCGGCGGCATACCTCATCCCACCGGGTGAACGTCCCCTCCTCTCTTTGCCGGCGACCATCACCAAGATCGCCGCCGGCAGGCGTCACTAAGACTGCTGCGCATGCACGCGCGGCAACGTCACGCGCATGCGTGATGATGTCACGGCGGGGTGACACCCAGCCTCGGGACGCCCCTGAAAGTGACAAATCCAGTTACTATGTGAGTCACAAACCGCTTAAAGTAAACAAAACAAAAAACATCCCTGACTGAGCCAAATCCTCATCCTTCTCTCAGGCTCCCCCTCCCAGTCCCCTCCAGCTCACAGTGGGAGGATTTAAGCAACAGAGGCAGTGCTGGCTATGCAGAAAGCAGTGGATGGGCCTAGTTGTGGCTAGCTATTAAAGGAGAACTATGAGATGAGTGCTTTTCACTCACCTCATAGTTCTAGCCGACCTGTGACAATGAGACTGTCACAGGTCGGCTCAGTAGATCGGGAGGTGAGCGAACACATACCGGCGTTCGCTCACCTCTCGATCCTGTCACGGCTCTCTGCCGTGACAGGGGAGGTGCTGGATTCCCCCCTCCCCGCTCCGATCCGCCAGCGCTGACTGGCGGAACGGACGGGGGAGGGGGCGGGTACAGCTGGGTCTGCCTCTAGATAGGCAGAGCCAGCTGTCGGTCACGTAGCTGGGCGGATCCCGGCACAATTGTCGGGATCCGCTTCAGCTGTGGCGTCTCAGTATACCGTGAGCTACAGCTTGCCATATACTGAGCCTAGGGTGACGGGAGGATGCTAGTTTGTGTCCTCCCGTTACCCTAAGGAGAACTATGGGGAAAAGCCCTGACCCCATAGTTCTCCTGTAATAGAGAAGCTACAGGTTTGCCAATCAGGAGCGTCTATGCTGATAGCCACAGCCCCCCTGCAACATTTTTTATCTCACTGTAGTGTAAACAGGCACAGCCTACATGAGAGTGACAACTCTGCTGTCCTACAAAGAGCAGTGCAGCATTGCTGCCACCCTATCACAGGAAGCTGCATTATGTCAACCTCTTTGGCAGGCTCAACAGGTAATTGTGGGTCTTTGCAGGAGGAGGAAGTGCAGCAACACTTTTTTTTTTTTAAATGGGAGGCCATAGTTTGACTTTAATTTGAATCACTTTAAAAAAATAAAAGAAATATTTTCTTCCCATCTCTCATGTTTTCTTAGAAAATGGTTCGCAGTTTACAATTCCTGCTAGGGACATGTCAGTTTATGAGCACAACTGTATATGTGAACCCGTATTAACTGGAGAGGCCGGATCTGCGCATGGCTGGTCTTCAGCGAATGACAATCAGCCCACTGCGGACTCTTCCTCCCCGCTTACACCTCACAGCAGAAACCAGCCCCTGGTACAAAGGTACGGAGTGCCGCAGGACATCAGCACTGTTCTGGACCAGTATGGGATGGGAAGTCGGGAACGGGAAGGTACACCTTGTATGTCAAATATTTGAGGGTGCCTTTAACCCCCCAAAAAACAGGTTTTTATTTTAATGTAGGCAGCCTCCTTGCAGACAAATTGTTCCTCCTGATTCATTTCAAGCCGTGTGTGTGGGGAGGAGGGGGG